TGTGATATTGTCTTGTATTTAATTCGACGGATTGAATTAAAAGTTTATCGTTTAAGTTTACAGATACCAAGCCAACACTGTCTTTAATAAATCTCGCTATATCAATTTTCACCACTTTAAAAGTCGGTAAAGATTTTTTATTTGGGTTAGTAAATTATGTAGAAAACAAAATAGATTATGACGCGGTGACTCACCTTTGAATATTCCATTAAAAAGTGAGTTCATTAATTTGATCTATCATTTATACGTTTATTATTATATCCATAAGGTAAATTTTTCTTATGATTACAGCAAATTTCATAAGTCACGGGACAGCCAATAATATTCGGTACTTTTCCGAGAACATTTATAAGGATTTGAAAAAGCCAACCATTTTTTTATATGGGTAATAAAATTATGTCGCTATATATATTCGGAATACTGATCGATTATTTTTTCAAAAAATTCTATACCGAGTTTTTACCGATCGATTTGCAAAATGATCGTCCGTCCCGTGACTTTTGAAAATTGGCTGCAATGCCCTTGAATGCAAATTGTTTCTTAAATTAATTATCAATTATTTTAGGCAACTTAATTATTAAAATGTTGTAGCGCTCATTTCTTTACGTTTATTTTTATAAACAAAGATTTTTTATAAAAATTAATTTAATAAAATCAATTTATCAAGTACGTTGACGATCTACGTTTCCGAAAATTCCGTATCAATTAAACAAAAGAATAATAAAAAATAAAATAATCGGAGAGGGTAATATAGTCGTAAAGAATAAAAGTAAGTGAAAGGAATATGTTGTATGTTGTAAAATAAATTAAAAAGAATGATCCACTATGTATATATCTAAATTTTCTATTTGGCCAGACATTTTGGCAGGCCAAAAATCGATCTACAAGGTCTAACTAAAAATGACAAGGATAATTTTCTAATTTATGCTTACGTGATAAATAAAAAGATAACATTTATAAAGAATTTAATTATCTATTCCAAGACAGTTTAAAAGGGAACTCTTCATTTCAGCGAGTTTATTTGGATTCTAAGTTTTGTCAGCAATTGATTTCCTTACAGCTTGACGAGTTTTATAAACATCAGCATGATAGAAACTAAAAAAAAAAAATATGAAATTACGATGTAAATTCATTTTTGAAAGGAATCAAAAGGAAAAGGAGGGAAAATAATTAATTACGCGATATCAGGAAACCATGATTTCCAGCGTCTTTGATGCGGAAGCAGATAAAATAATTCAATTTTTTTAAGGACCTAAATCAAAAGAATAAATAAGTAAGATCAAATCGGGAATATTATTAACGAAATATTAAACTCTGCTAGCCTCTGCTTTTTGTGCAATATAATGCACTCGGTCATCATCAGCGTCAATCGCCTTATTCAATAGTCCAATAAATAAATTCATAAGGAATATAACAACTATAAATGAAAATAAAACCATCAATATGGTCAAAAGAATATTTTCTTCAAGGGACCATGCACCTAGTGGATTATTTCCTGCAAAGAAAGCAAATTAAACAAACATTAACTAATGAATAATAAAGAATCAAAGAATTTGATAATATTATACCTGTTAATAATAGATACATCGCGAAAAGGGAACCGAGATAATTTGTAAATAAATTTGTACGCTCATCAGGTTCTTTATATAAGGTAAAATTTGATATAAATTTTCCATCTGGTCCTTCAGAAATTTGATGGTATTTTTCTGTAAGTCTCCAAGGATTATTGCTATCTTTTAAATCTCCCAAATTTTCTATACCAAATTGTTCTTTTGGTTCTAATAAAATCATGAATGCATGCGCAAAACTAATGATAATAAGAAAAAGAATGATAAGGAATGAAAATATTTTGCGCGCTACACCTTTAATAATAGCAAAATAAACTCCAAATGATTCAAATACTTGAAGGAAAAGTATAAATTTAATATCAAGTATAAGACATGCAATTGAAACTAGATAAGGTATATGTTCATTATCTTTATCCATGAGCCAAAGGATTGTTATATATGAGGGCAATAAATAAACACCTAAATCTGTATTTAAAAGTATTTTTAAAATATAGTCGCATTTATTTTGTATTTGATTGAAATAACGAACAAAACGTACCAAACCAATTCCATATATTTTGAAAGCATTTATTAGGACCCATAATAAATTGACGAATTTCAAATAAAAGTTGAAACAGACCCAAAAAAAGAGATAATGATGACCAAAACTTTCGTTCGAGATTATGAGTCTTTGTTGCCATTACAAAGCAATTAAGAAAAATCAAATATATTGAACAAATTACCGCATAATACCATCTTCCGAATACAGTCCATTTAAAATTAATTAAAGATTCGCCATTCCAGGTTTTATACAATTCAATATCATTTGCTTTTATAAATGGGCTGGATTGAGGCCAAAATATTTCAATAAACCAATTATAATCGGGAGGATACGAAACATAATAAGGGTATTGGATTAAGAACAATATTTTTGGTCTATTATATTTTTCTTTGACTTTGATAAATATCCTTGATAATATGCATGCTATTATTATAATAAGTGAAATTATGTCAATTGCTAATTTATTGGTTGATTCAAAATAGCTGGATATAACATTTGTCCAAAGTGTAAATATTTATAAGAGAAAAACACAGTATTGTAAACCAAATTGCATAAGTAAAGGAATTAAATTAAAAAAAGATAATGCAGCTAATGCAGTTACATCAGAAACACCCATCCTATAATAAAATAGACATCCCAGAACCATAAGGATAGGTGCTATGGGAACTAAAACATTAATCATAGGTATTGATTCATAATCAAACGAAGATTTAAGAAATTTTTTATGCGGTAATTTAGTGATGTTTGATTCCATGCTAAATGAATGAAGATGTTCAACACCTTCGTTATATATAATCTTTGGCTTCGAAAAATGGGTAATTAAAGACACATCATTATAGTATCTTGAAATGAAATCAGAATATTTGTAACTCAAGCATGAAATATTGTTACATATTATTGATAATATGTAAATATTACTTTTCGGATCTTCTTCAAAAGTTTCAATGGTCTTGTTAAAAATTTTGCCTAATAAATCTATATTATTTTTTTTAATTGCTGATTTTAATAATTTTCCTCCATATAATGCGAAATAGTATTTTGAATTTAATAGATAACTGATCCATTGCTTTTTTGATTCATTATTACCAAATAATTGGTCAATCTTATTTTCATCATCAGATGGATCAACTATATCAGCGATGTCTGAATAATCCAATATGCGATTATTATAATGTTTAATTGCATATTTTAAAAATCTAAGATCATAACGATGCGTTCGAAATTCTTTGGATCTTAAATTAAAGGTGTAAATAAATAATTCTTTTTCATTATGTGCAATATATGTATTATTAATTTTCTGATAATTCCATTCCAAGGATTCGACGTGTTGTAAGCAACTTGTAAATTCTTCATTGTCAACTTTAACGTTTAAAATCATTTTATCTTGACTTTCTTCAATTAATTCAAAGATATATCCAGTGGTTTCACGGTTCATCAAATACGATGTAAGATAATTTTTAAAAAAATCACTTTCATCTTGTATAGGAACATTAAGATTTTGATTTAAATCCATCAAAAGATTCTCGCTGAATAAATTCATGTCCTCATTATCTTCGTTAATGATTGAATTATTCATATTATCATTAACTATGTGATCTTTCAAATCTTCTGAAATATCAATAATCTTAGGTTCTTCATTACAAATTCCAAAGGCCTTTTTTCCTCTAAATTCAATAAGTTTAAATTGATCTTCAGATCCAAATAATTCAATGAAGTTAATTGATTTTTCTAAATTTGATTTCCAAAAGTAAATGTTGATGGTGTTACCACTTGATAATGTAATCATAAGTTCATCATTACTTCCAGCAAAATCAAATTGTCGAGCATCTAATCAAAAATAAATAAAATTAATATTATAAGGGATTAGACGCATTCTAGATGTGATATGAAATCATACCTGTATCCGTAATCTTTCCAACTGGAACATTATTGGAATAAATATGATATGTATCATTGACTTTCATTATAAATTCATTTAATAAATTTTCAGAAAATTTAAAGTCTATTTGTTTAGGATTTAGGTTCATTTCCTATTTGTAATAATGAATTATATATTACCACCAATTTATTGTAATATTATAAATCATATTATAAAATGTTATACTTACAAAAAGGGGAACCATCTGAAATTGAAAAGTATGTAAATCCATTATAAATATCGAATCAAAAGATGTCAACCACATCTTATCGTTTGTAACGCCGCCATAATTAACTTCTTCCTTGAATACATAAACAGACTTAGTTCGAATATTTGATGGTTTATAAGTAGCAACTAGTGGTTTACTAAATGATACAAAATTTCCATTTTTAAGAATGTTTGTATACTTGTACTCAAAGCGTTCATAAATTTTGTTTGTTATTTTTATTTGATTTTTCAAACTAAAGAAATTTACTAAACATAAGATAAATTAATTAACATTCAAAAATTTGTTGATAATTTGAATGATAAATTAACCCTCACCTTTAGCATCATAATTAGCTTCATACAAAATAACCTTTTTGTCAGAGATCTTAAAGTCACGAACATCATCGTATGAAGTTACGCTGATGACTTTAATGGGCGAATTATTTTTATTTTTGATACTCCATAACTCAAATAATTTGATTTCTTGTCTATATGTTAACATATATTTTGATTTTGGTGATATTGACACCTTAGTTATCATTGCGTTCGGTTTACCATTGTGGTACGATTGAGCAGAAGCCAACTTCTGAGTTGAGCTAGAATACGCTCCCGTTCTATCCATGTCGACGCGATGATGAGGTTGAAACATGGTTCTTGTGAATATAGAAATTTTAACAAGCTAGGTAAAGAGCGGCGATATTTATACATGTAATCTTTTTATAATTATTTGTGTATATGTGCAAATGTGTACGTTTGCATGCGTATATATTTATATGTGTGTGAGTGTTGTGTGATTGGTGGTTTTTGTTGTTTGTTGTGTTTGCATATTTCGATTCATTGTTTTCTTTCCAAAATTATGGATCGTAATAATTGCATGTCGACTAATTTGATTTATGTTTCAAAAAGAACCAACCATAGCTATGGAATCGTAATTTTTTAAATTCTTTCTTTTTTTTTTTGCTTACTTAGAAATGCTTTGATCCTCATGATCTAAAGTACTGCGCCAACATTACAATTAATTAAATTAATTGGAATCGATAAAATTGTTATTCCGGTATTTATTTTTTGTTGTGCTTCTTCTTTTAAATATCATATTGACTTTACTTGTACAAAATGCAACAAAAGGCTTTTTAAATTTAAAGACCCATGGTTCCAATGAAAAATCGCGCTTAAAAATAAACCCTTATTTTTTTTATCTTCTTTCTGCACCGAAAGAACTCGACTAGGATCAAAGAGAAAAGGATCCATTTCTAAAAAAAAAAGAAAGAAAATAGAAAGAATAAAGAAAAACTCCCAAAAAATTTTCTTCGCGAAACTTACCCATAGAGTTAATCACGCATATTTTAATGTTAATATTTCATTAAATATACAGTAGTATGTTTATTGGTCAGTTAATGCATCATTCTTCTAGTATTAATAACTTACTTGCTACTTCTGATTCTCAAAAAAAAATAAATGATAATTTTCATGTTAATCCCAAAATGCATAAATTCAGTTAAGTTCAAGAATGGGGATTCTTTTTAATTTCCAAATTTATTTTAAAAAAATTCAATGTAGAATTTTTTGCTGTAAAACTATTACAAAGCTGATGGAATCACATGTAAACAAAATAAATTTAAACGTAGCAAAATGATGCAAAACCAATAATGTTAACAACTTTTCTTAAATTATTAAGAAAAAAAACTTAACAGGCAAGTGTAAAAGTATAGCTTTATGGAGTAACACTCATTTCTAATCAAAAAAAAAACATGCGTCAACTTCAAATAATTGCTCAGAACATTCCTGGAGAAATTCCTTTCTGGACTAGAAATAGATATGGAAAACCAGTACGGTACGATTATGCAGATCAGCAAAATTTGAATCGTACCGTACGGGTAGATAGAAAACTGATACGGTACGATTCGCCAGACCAGTACAGTACGATTTTGCAGATCAGTAATTTTTGTGAAATTTGACACCGTACCGTACCGTACTGGTCCTATAATAAAGCTTTATATATACAGCCAGTATGGTACGGTACGATGCCAAATTTACTGATCTGCAAAATCGTACTGTACCGTACTGGTCCTATAATAACTAAGCCCTATTATAGGACCAGTACAGTATAATAATACGATGTCATTTTTGATTTTTTTCTTTTTTTTCTTTATTTTATATTTTATATTTTTTTTAAATTCCTCTGGACTTTTTTTCTTTTCATTTCATTTTGTTTTTTTTATAATTTTTTCATTTACTTTTTTTTGTTCATTTATTTTTTTTTTTTTTAGTTTTTTCTTAATTTTTATTTTATTTCATTTATATACTTTCGTTTTCATTTATTTATTTGATTTATTCAATTTTTTTTTTGCAATTCTATACTTTCGTTTTCATTTTATATATTTGATTTTTTCATTTTTTTTTTGCAATTCGTTTCTTTTTTACTTTTTTTTATTATTTTTTTCTTTTTCTTTTTTTATTTTAGATTTTTTTTCTTTTTCGTTTTTTTCAAAAAAATAAATAAAAAAGAATAAAAAAAATGAAAATAAAATAAAAATAAAAAAAAAGATTTCCGCGAATATGGCATTTAATTAGTAAAATGTGATATAATGATTTATTTTAATATTATAAAAATATCAAAATTCATTTTATTTATAAAATAAGTAATAAATAAAAATAATTTTACAAAAATTTCATTGCGTACCATACCGTACTGGTCCTATAATAGGCTTAGTTATTATATGACCAGTACGGTACAGTACGATGTCAAATTTCATCAAAATTACTGATCTGCATAATCATACCGTACTGGTCTGGCGAATCATACCGTACCAGTTTTCCATATACTCGTACCGTACCTAGGGTTGTTGAAGTCTTAGGTCCTAGACTTAAAGACCCGGTCTCAAGACTAAGTCTGCAGATCATTAAGTTCAATTTTTTAGACTAATAGAGACTAAGTCCTAACCAATTAAATTTTAATTAAAAAAAGTTAAAAATTATATATTATTAAATGTAATGCATATAACCTTATATAAAACGCCATTTTTTTATACAATGAATTTAGAAAACCTTGATAATAATAATCTTATTGATAATAATAACAGTTCAACTTTTTATTTAGATACTGACATTAATGAAAATGAATTAGATATATCCTTTTATAATTTTTATAATAATAGGTTATTT